GATGCAGGTCTCAGACGTTTATCACTTCGGTGAAACCAACGAACACGGGTATGGTGCTGACAAACCTAGAAACATAATTGGGGCGAACCGGGATTCGAAACCTCAATCATAGGTTTCTGGAGTGCCCAAGGGACCCAATCTGCACAGCGAATAGCGGCACTGCAGACGTAAGGTCTAAAACACAACAGTTTACTGTGATACCTGTATCAAACACATCACCATCGAATGACCATTTCCTGTTTGTTTTATTCATCATCAACCTCGGGTGAATACTTTCTTTTGTCCGACAGAGTACATCAGTTTGGGCTGCTGCCGCGCATCAACTGCACTCATGTTTAAAGCAGTGTATAAGCTCAGTGTTGTTTGAGCGTTTGCAACCCTACTGACCATCGTTTGAAGTTACAAATGGGTTCATCATATTCAAAACTTTCGAGCCAAAGGTCTTGAGCACTGAGAATACCCCAACACCTTGCGTTGAATCTGTGCCTTTCGTAAGCAATTGTCGTGCCCTGATTTTACGTGTTTCTCCGGATGTTTTGTTTCTAACTTTTGTCTGAGAGTGTTGGATTGAGGAATATGTTTGCGTACTGGAGACAATGGACTCACAAACCAAAGTCTTTCCAGTATGGGAGCCTCGGCCTTTGTACTGTGGATTCTTGGTTTTACAGCCTCTACCTTCACCAGGCGTTTTTGTCTGACCAAGAAAGTTTGGTGGGTTCTGTTGGGTTGGTGCAGCTTTTAACATTCTCTCCAACAGTTTGGACACATTTAGTTCTGGTTTCTGGTTTACAGCATTAGGCGTGACCACAGACGGTTTGTTTGCAAAACTGTTATCGGAAATTGATTCGGAAGAAACTGGAGTCATTTTCTTGTTCTTAGTAGGGTCATTTCCACTTGTTGTTGATACTCTCTGTTCTTGATCTGAATAGACATTGCCCCTCGTTCTCTTCTCAGGCTGCATAAGCTCATATCGAGGTGTTATTTTTGTGTGTTGAGAATGTGCAGAACCGACAGTGTGTTTCTGGCCCTTCTCTGCAGAGGATGGTTCGAAACAAGGGGATCCTGTCTGTGAATGTTTCCCTAGAACCGTAGAGTGATCTCTTAATGTCTCTTTCCTGGGAGATTTACATTTTCTTCTGATGCTCTGTCGTTGTAGCTTCTTTGGGGAATATTTATTTACCTGTATTGTGGAAGGACAGGCAGGTTGGTACTCTTTAGTGACAGTTGAAAGTGTCGCATCTACTCTTTTATCTTTTCTAATGATGTTCGTTGGTACAGCATGTCCAGTCACTTTCCCAATATTATCATTTTTGGTCCTGGCTTCAAATTCTGGTGACCGGGGAGAAATACCTAACTGTTGAAGCACATCATGGGTTGTCTGATTTTCATGAAAGTTTTGAAGGTTCATTGGCTTATCTTCAGAAGCTCGTATTGGTTGAGATCTTTGTCCGGATGACACGGCCAAGGCTGTATTTGTAGAAATATTGCTCAGTGACATCTCAGTTATTTTCATATTCAAGTTCATTACTGTACTCGGCACTGTGGCTGAAGAAGATAAGGTTGTTTGACGTCGACAGATGGGAATGTCCTTGGGACTCTTTGTCGGAAGATGCCTTGACAGTTGTCCATGTTGATCATACTTTATTTTCTTTGCATCGGTATGAAACTGTGATTTCTCTCCATCATCACACGCAGGTCTCTTTCTCGGCATCAAGCGGAATGTAGGTGCACTATGATCATCTAAAGGGCTATATCTGTCTGGATCTTCAGTAGCATGGCTAGGTAGGATAGATACATGCTGTGATTGTTCTCTATCATCTTTTGAAGTTTTAGAATCATTATTGATAACTGTCACACCGGCATTTGGCATCGAGCAGAGAATCGGTTGTATGTCGTTAAGCATTGGTTTCTTTCCCTGCAGGTCTCTAATACATTCCAGGTAGGACCTTCCACAGTGATGGACGTGTATGCTCTCATTAAGCCAGAACACTGACACCAGCTCAAGTTCCTCCTTGGGAAGATTCAGCAAGAACTTTACTATCTCCTGCTTGCCATCACCACTGAACTGTTTCCGAAGCTCCTTGATGATATTGCTTGTTGGCGAACTGACATAGATAGTTTCCCACTTGTAGGCTATCTTGTACACACCACTTGGCCTGCGCGTCGTCCGCACGATGACTGAGTATGGTACATGACCTCTGTGCAACAGCTTACATGGTTTCATCTGGAATAAAAAGCAGTATTTTGGTAACACCTCAATACAAGTCAGTAAGCGAGCCAGTAAAACATTATGAGTGAGTGGGTGAGTTTGGTTCAACACCGCTTTGAACAGTATTCCTGTCTTATCACGGCGTGTCAGTTTGACATGGGAGGAAAGCCCGAAGTGATGCAGGTCTTGGATGTTTACGAATTTGACAATCCTAGGAACATAATCAGGAGAATCTAGATTCAAACCCACGATCATAGTTTTCTGGCACGCTTAAGGAATTTCAGCGCCTTAGGCGACTATGACATAGACAAGAGGCACATTGTTGGTGTTCATGACGAGTTGATTACGAAATGAAATCAATGGTAAATTAACTAATATTGTTCATGAAACATTCCTATTACTTCTTGGGGCACGGGTGGCCCAGTCGTCTAAGGCGCCGCGATCCGCTGTGCAGCAGAGTTGCGTCCCTTGGGCACGCCAGAAACCTATGATTGTGGGTTCGAATCCCGGTTCGCCCCGATTATGTTTCTAGGTTTGTCAGCACCATACCCGTGCTCGTGGGTTTCACCGAAGTGGTAAACGTCTAAGACCTGCATCACCTCGGGCTTTCCTCCTACATTAAGCCGAGACGCCGCGATATAACTGTCGGCGTTAAACCCAACTCACTCACTCAGTCACTCCTATTACTTCGTTACGCCGAAGGCCCGGTTCGATTCCCCATATGGGGCCAATGTGTGAATCCCATTTCCGTTGTTCCCCGTCGTGATATATTGCTGGAATATTGCTAAAAGTGGCGTAAAGCCATACCACTTCATTCATTAAAACTACTTACGGCAATCAAGGGTATCGACATGCGGCCTGTTTTTGGCACCATAGCCTGTTTGTCTTGTTTTCTATTCAATGGCCGCTCTGTCTTCGAAGATCTCTCTGTGTCCATATCTTGTCCTTTATTAATGCACGGTGTCTGGAAGTCCTTTAAACGTTCACACTCTTGTTTGGTATTTGTTTCAGGTTGCGACGTAACGTCATCAGAAGCACTAGCTATCAGCCCCAGTGCTGTCTCAGCAGTTCCCTGTTCGTCCTGGCAATGCAATATCCCATGTGCTGCAGGAGGCGGACAATCATTCCTCTGTGTGTGATCTCTTGGTTTTTCTCGAGGAACAGAGCTGTTTCGAACATGTGCAACAACCTTTGTTCCCTGTTCGTCTTGGCAATGCAATACCCCATGTGCTGCAGGAGGCGGACAGTCATTTCTCTGTGTGTGATCCCTTGGTTTTTCTCGAGGAACAGAGCTGTTTCGAACATGAGCAACAACCTTTGTCTGTTGGATTGAACCGTGCAAACTCGTACGAGATGTCGAGACCTGGCTCGGTTCCGGTTCAACCAGCTCCAGATTAGTCGGCCATGGGTGCTGGACATACACTGGTATGAAGTGTGAGTACAGCTTTATGTTGTGTGAGTTGTAGAGAAGATGCACCTGTGGCTTTCCAGAGTCATTCGTCCCAGGCAACACACCACGGTTATTCATGACTGTGCTGAAATGGAAAGTGTACATAAATGTATTGAGCAAGTGGGTGAGTGAGTCTGCTTTAACGCTGCTTTGAACAATATTTCAGTTATTTCATGGCGTTCCAACGAGTCGTAGTAAAGCCCGAAGTGATGCAGGTCTTAAACGTTTAGTGCAGTCCACGACCACGGGATTCGAACAAACGATCATGAACGATACGCTCCAAAGACCCACTACTCTGCACAGCGCATTGCGGCGCGTTGGAAGACTGGGCCGCCATACAGTTGATACCCCATTACTTCATTACTGTAATAAAGTCACAACCTTGACTTATATTGCTGAAAACAAGACTTGATAAACATTACATATTAACACATAATAAACATTAATAATAATGGGGGCACGGGTGACCCAGTCGTCTTAGTCGCCACAATTCGCTGTGTTGAGTTGCGTCCCTTGGGTATGCCAGAAACCTATGATTTTGGGTTCGAATACCGGTGTGTTCAATTATGTTTCTAGTTTATCTAGCACCAAACCCATTACCGTTTGACAAAAGTGGTAAACGTCTGTGACCAGCAGCACTTCAGCCTTTCCTCCAACATTAAGCTGACACGCCGTGATATGACTGGAATATTGTTCAAAGCGGCGTTAAACCCAACTCACTGTCTCACTTAATAACAATGCTGATCGGAAATGTAGTGTTTACTCCAATTATTAAAGTTTCAACATTCCAAAAGTAAAAAAATCTCTCTAGAATAAAGTGTGCGTGTGAAATAACGTTCAATAACAGTTGACCCTAAAAAGTGTGGGTTTCAGCTGCATGCTAAGAATGCTGGCAGGGGCCGACTGTGTGTTATCAGGGTCACGGTGACATTATACAGCTTGTTTCATAACACTGAATCGCTCAGATGAATCATTCTATGATTACTCCTCCTTACATTATATATCATCCGTTCTAAATCCCTCATTCATAATTGCTGACATTTAGCGCACTATTATACGACATTAATTCGAACTTGTTCAAGCAAGTAGAAAACACACACACACACACACACACACACACACACACACACACACACACACACACACACACACACGTTAAGGACTGATTGTCGTTATGCAGGGCTGTTCTCGTCAGGATATGGCTGAAATACTGCCGATGTGACGTAAACTTTTAACTCACTCACTCTTCGACCCTTATATCACAGGGTGGCTGTTGTTGACGGCATACCTCTGTTGAGGACTGATTTAATTGTCGTTATGCAGGGCTGCACTACTAAGAATTTATCACAACGGAAGAGAAAGTAGATTTCCCAGAACACTGACGCCTATATGTAGGTCAGGTGCACAGTCTTACAACCGGGTGCAGGAGACGCAGTGTGCAGACATCCTAGATTCCTATTTCAGAACCCAAATACACCCCTCACGTTCCACACAGGTAAGACATGTTTATTCAGTGTTTATGTATAATTGCTCTTATCGTTAAAAGATGGAACTTGTTGTTACCCTGTCTGGCGCTCGGCATTAAGGGGCTAAAACAAGGACTGGTCGGCTCGGAGTAAGTATGCTGTGTCTGAGTGGGGTATTCATGTTAAACTGCGGCATGGTATCTCAGTGAGCTTGCACTATAAATCGGCATCAGTCCGGACCAGTACAACCAGCCACACACACACACACACACACACGCGTGCATGCACGTCGCTATATAAGTGCAATAATCTTGGACGCGACGTTAAACCCACCTCACCTCACTTGTTGGTATCGGCGACAGTGTGAGTGACAGGGGTGGGAGAACGTAGATAGGCACTAAATGGCTCATACAAAATTGCCGAGAATGGTCGGACAATCTATGTGGGCAATGCCGAAAGTGCATCAATCAGAAGAGCACTGAGGAGACATTTCAAAGGAATGGACAAACAACACATTGGAGCATATCTAAGCACCCTACACGAAGAATACAAAGAGGAATTTATAACAGTGTTTTGGCTTGATATTAACATCAAACATGCCTGTAATTGTAGCTACCTTAAGTGTTTTGAAAGAATGGAAGGAAGAAAGCCAATGTACAACATGCAGGGCCATGCCTTCATCGCGCGACCAAAGCGAGTCGGTTCTTGTTCTGAATCTGGCCCAGATGATCACAAAATGGATACTCATGAAATCGAAAAATCGGAGTAAAGGATACTTTGCGAACATTTTGAATTTGAATAGGGCAAATGTATTCTCATTTGCATAAGTTGTGGTTAATTACTGTTTCTTTGTCTCACCTATTATTTTCATATGACTTGGTTGAGCTGAATAAAGATATCGTCAAAAGGAAGATTAACTTCTTTATTTTTGAGGTCATATATTTGACATGGCATCAGAAGGGTTGTCGTCACGTTTACTGACAAGTTTGGTTATTAATATAGCCAGGCAGCCCATGAAAGTGAGTGAGTGAGTGAATTGAGTTTAACGTCGCTTTTAGCAATATCACGGCGATAGACACCAGACATAGGCTCCACACATTGTACCCATGTGGGGAATCGAACAAAGAGCTTCAACGTGATGAGCGAACGACAGACCATTTGTATTGGTTTAAAAGATTTATTTTATATATAATAATAAGTGACCAAAACAATAACCTGTCTCGAACACATACACTTACGAAATGTGTTATATTGTGTAACATTGGTGATTTCGTCATGGCAGTCATATTGTGTGATTCATTATGCGTGCTGTCGTCCATTAGTTTGTCCGGACCTGGCATGATTGGGAACGGGGCGGTCGGGTAGCCTAGTGGTTAAAGCGTTCGCTCGTCACGCCGAAGACCCGGGTTCGATTCCCGACATGAGTACAATGTGTGAAGCCCATTTCAGGTGTCCCCCGCCGTGATATTGCTGGAATATTGCTAAAAGCGTCGTAAAGCCATACTCACTCACTCACTCATTCATGATTGGGAACAGGCCACAGGCCGTTATCGCCATAATATTGCTGACTGGTTGAAACAGCATTTTACTCGGTTACATTTCTAAATGACAATATTGTTTAAGGTAAATTTAAGTATTAATGTTATTTGTTGTATAAAGCTGCATTCAGCCCAGCTATAGTCCAGCTACATGATGGCGGCTTTTTTAAAACTTTTTTTTTTCTGTACGACTTCGAGTCGTGATGTCTAACAAATAGCAAAACCTATTGTATTTGGTCACGTTTCAGACATGGCAACGTTCACGGACATCAACCGAGACAAGCACGGAGTTGTTCGGGGTAAGTGTCGAGACTGCCCCGAGGACTGTCCTCAGTATTCCCAGCCTGTCCTCAGACACAACTGTACATATTGCGGGTGTCCGGCGGCTCATCATGAGAGGGTGGAACCTCGACCTGAACTCATCATCAAGATAGAACCAGGGGAGGAGGGGGCAGGATCTTCGGGGCGGAGTGATGACCGACCACCACGCGGTCCGTCGAGAAGAGCCCAGCCAAGTACCTCCAGGCGAAATGAGTCGCCTACTGGCTCACGAAATCACCAGGGTACATCACGTACAGTAATCCAGGTATCATTTCAACCCGTTAACTTAGAAAGTTTTAGAAGTTAGTTTGTCATTCGTGAGGTTTCATTTTAATGTAACCTTTTCTGTATGGTTTATATTCTGTAAGCATCAGTAATGGATGGAGAACATGATAACTATCTTAGCTGCGACCGAGGCTTTGAACATAAGCACGTGCATACGTAGGTTATTTGTTGTTACACCACAAACCTATGGAATGGGGGATGAAATTGACTTGATTGAACAGGTTGCTATCAGCTGCACTTTTAAAATTTAACTTTAATGTTTCAGAAACGTTGTAAGACGTTATTTGTGGATGCTGGCGTCACATATTATCATCTTCAAGAGAAACTTACAAAAACTCAACGCGGCGTGTTTACAATCCTATGGAAGGGAAAAATAATTTATGTTGGGGAGCCAAAGAAGACGCCCCTATTAACTAACCTTCGTGGTATCTTTACTGGTGGAAGCCAACAAGACATCAGCAAGTATTTGAAAAGTTTACCCAACAATTTGAAAGAGAAGCATGTCCGAATCGTTTGGCTGACACACATGGATGACGACCCACACTGCCAAACGTGCAGAGAAGGCAGGAAAAAGCTTTCGTATCGACATTGTGTTTCAAATCTGCAAAGCAAGGATCCAAGGAAGGTCCTCTTGGATCTCAAGACAAAATTTTCACTCCATTAGAATCAAAATGTTTCTCGTGTTTCAACTGACCACTAATTGTAGTGTTTAGTTTGAAACCTTTCTACTCCTGGCATCGTCTTTGTAGCTGTATGTCTCTTTATCTCAACAGTCTGTAGCATAATTGTGGTTTTAAGGATTTTCTGGGAAAATATATTTTTAGGTAAAATCCCAACTCCCCAGTATGCAACAAACCACTCAGGGTATAACAGAAGATTATGATGTTTGAACATGTATTTGGGTGAAGGAAAATGTCACATCTCAAAGTTCCTTTACCTTTCAAAGCTCTATTTACAAGACATTTCTACATATCTTGTGATAAGAACATTATAATGCTGGGCAGAATGTGAATTAGAATCACCTCATCATATTTTGTGTGATCCCCAGTAAGGTGCTCTAGCTTTGGTTGCCAGTGGCATACTGTTTTACTGTCCTTTGTCGATAGGTATTATCAAATAATTAACTTGTTTTCATCGCAATATTGCCGATGCGATGTAAAATGTTAAGTCGCTCACTCATCATATTTAGATATGATACACAGCAAAAAAAATGCAGTTTCCGGTATCCGGATACCTGCCGGATACCACCGGACACTTACCCAAAACGCGTCCGGGTATCCGGTGGCAGATACCTTGCCGGATACCAGATCTGTGGTATCCGGCATGGACACCTCACCGGAAAGTATGTCACCTGGAATCCGGGTATCCGGCACCGGATACCTCACCGGATACCTCAATCTGGGTGTCCAGGGATCCGGCACCGGATACCTCATTCTGAGTTTCCAAAAACATGTCACAATTTGGGGGGTGCATTTTGTTCAATTAAGTGTGAAACACCTAAAAATATATTGGAAACTAACCATGAAAATTGAACATTGCTGAAGGTATCCGGCAGGTATCCGGCAGGTATCCGGCAGGTATCCGGATGCAATTTTTCGAGATGTCTTTCTCCTAGTAAATAATGTTAGCCTGGGCATAGCAGATAGCTGTAGTAATATGCTGTGCTATTTTAGTTGTAAATATCCCCTTGAAGTTGAGATCTATGGGCATGTACTTTTGGTGAAAACATTTTTCAAGTTCATATATATTTCAATTTAGATGTTCAGCGTATTAAATGAAAAGCATTCAGTCCTGGTATGATGGTATCCTTACATTTCATCTTCATATTCCCCGTTTGTTCTAGCCTAGTGGTTGAAGCATTCGATTCACCACATCGGTACATTGCTTGGTGTCACCCATCATGATATTGTTTGAATTTTGCTCATAAAGTGGCATAACACCATACTCACTCTGACAAAAAAATGAAAGTCATTGGCTATGTGCTCACTTGGGCCTTTGTTCCTGATGAGATTAAAAGTTTATTTTGGAATTGTATCAATACTTGTTACATCTTGACAGACGAGTTTCATTGAAGTTCGAAACAGAATATCATTAACCCAAATGGGTGCATAAGACTAATGGCATCCACAGAAAACACCTAATAAAGTACTGGTACATAAAAATATCAATGTAACTTTTCTACTGACATGGAACTAAAAACTTTGTTCAGTGAGCTGTATTAATTGTAGGAAAACATTCAGGGCATTAGTATATTTGATATATGTTAGCACCTACGTTATGAATGATCAATATCATATTTCTTTAAAGAAGCAAAACAAAAAATTTGTTAAGATAAAAAATCATATTTATTGATTTTATGACATTTCATTGGTTCAGTAACCAGAGGTGTTTGCAAGAACATTCAAAAACAGAAACAGATGCTTCAATGCCATTTTCTAAATAAACAAATTAGTCAAATCTCACAAGAATTTCAAGGTAGAAGAATATCTAAAGTCAATTATGTTTGTGCAGTAAACCACAAAAGTCATTCAGATTTGTATAGTCAGCTTCAGTGTACACCACATAAACAGTCTCACTGCTGTGGTATTAATTCCTTTAGACTTGATTAATGTCGTAATAAAACAACCTACAGAATCACACTGATGTGGCATTATTCATTCAGAATCATCACTTTCTGAGGTGAACCTGTTAGTTGTTCTGGGGAGGATTATTCATCATCCGGAGAGTCCTTTGTATGACTTGTCTGATCTGGTGTCATTGTGAAATTCAGGTGCCTGAAACAATTTATAACATCTTTAAAAGCATGTTATTAAAAATATAAGAAACACACATATATTGACAAAGGGTAAAAAGTTGGTTTCTCAATGAGTAAGGTAATGACAATTTATCAAGCAACTGTTAACCAAACCATGTTAACCAATGTAAAAAAGCCATAGCAAACAGTAAATTTTACAGAAAATACAAAATTGTAATTGATCTTCTGAAAACAATTCCTGTAGTGCCATAAGGCAGGCTCACCTGATTTTTTCTCAAATGTTTGCATTACATCAAAACATAAGGAAAGGTAAACAAGGCAATGCAAATTGCATAAAATAGGTTCTTATACATAAAAACAGAACTAAAGTATTTGACGTAATAAGCGCCTCGCTCTAATAAGCGCCCATGGGAATATTTGCTAATATATTGGCTAGTGAACAATCCCAATTAGCACCCTTTCCAATTAATCTATTTATACAAGACTTATTTATTTGCGTATAATACACACTTGTGTGTGATATGCATTATCATATTTTTATCATTTATCCTATCTTTAATTAAGATTTACAATAACGGCAAAAACTGCCAAATATATTGGTCAAGTGTAATCATAATTTAAGTAGTTCTATTTGGTTTTGGAACTTTTCAAGGGTAATTGTAAATATATGTGTATTCCTATTTGAATACTCATTTGATTGTTATAAAATTACACAGTATTGCATCTATCGTCTGTTTCTTAATACAGTGGAACCTATCTTTGACTTGTGTGACATAATTGAATCATACCCCAAGTTCATAATGCATTGTTATGCATCTGCACAGAGTGGTCAAAGTCCTTGTCACACACATAGTTTGCTACAAGGCAGAATCCAATAAGTACAGTTGAGACATCAGGTTGTATCCAGACAAACTGTCTGATAATCTCAAGTATGGTCTTGGTCGCATCAAGGGATGTAGCTAATCCTAAATAAACATTAAACAAGTGACATAATCTCTTCTACAGAACACTTGATCAAAGCCTGCCCCACCTTTGATGTTTATCATCTCGTTACGCTCACAACAGCTCATTAGCATGAGCAAGATGAGCTCAATGTCAACTCATGGTGGATTAGGGATTAACAGGGCAATTAGTGTCAGGTCGGTATTATCACTTGCAATTGTCTGTTAATAACTTAATTGAGTAGTGACGGCTTAGTTAGTTTCCAACCACACTGACTGTTATGCTACTTATCAAGTCAGTTTACTGGTAACATGTGTCTGTGGACCAAGGAAATGTATCATGCCAGATACTTAAAAAGTTCTACTCATAAGTAATAAAATAATGACAGTTTTGATATGCAATTCTCCCTACAAAGACATTTAACATTTGATATACATAAACTGTCTGTTGAAACTATGATGATGCTAATATACAAGTCGCACAAAACAACCTATTCATATACTGGTACCTAGCCAAACAAACATAATTTTTTTACGTGTATGCACATGCTTGTACACATATACCTCTACTGGCATATCACACATACAAACAATCATTAGATGGATGTAATCGTTCAAAAATATTTTACATACAAAAACAAGTGAACAAATTCTGTAATAGCATGGTTAATATTGGGAGATGTTTTAGCATTTCCATTTTCACCGAATCGAAGGCATATCCTTTCATGACTCAGATCAGCTTGTAGTGATTTAAATTCACATAAAACTGATTCATGTCAAATGACCTATCCCGCATGTGTGGGACCTGTTATAAAAATACCATTCATTACTTATTTGTGTGTCCAAATTATGCTATTATTAGAAATAATAGGTATTATTATACAGCATGGATATGATATAAGAAAGCTTTATATGGAATTGTTGAAAATTATGTACAGGAAAACATTGAAATAAATCAATCAATACGTGCATTTATCTCAGAATCTGGTAGATTTAATCAATATGGACTTCTCCTTCATTATCTACTTAAAATCAGATGATTACATTATTGCTCAACTGATAGTTTGCAATGGTATAGAATAAGTATTTTATTAATACTTATTTTGTATTTCAGCATCATTTAGATAAGCCATCGGCTTGTTTGCAAATCCAGTTCACTATAAAAAAAATATATGTTTAAAACACATGTAGTAGAACATATTGCAATAGTTAAGACCAGAAAAGAAGTTATGTGAAGGATCTTCAAAATGGTATCCACAAGAGCAGGTTGTAGAATCATGTTGGTGTTTGTTGTTTAACTCTGCACTCAGCCATATTCCAGCTATATGACGGCGGTCTGTAAATAATCAAGTCTGGACCAGTCTATCCAGTGATTGACATCATGAGCATCGATCCACACAATTGGGATACAATGACATGGATCAACCAAGTCAGGGAGCCTGATCACCCGATCCATTAAGTTATCTCTCACAACTAGCATAGGTTGATCATGTTGATAGGGACTAACTTCAACCTGGAATCCCCACGTGAGTAAGTATGCGGCTGTTAGCTTTGTTTGATGTTTAACGCCACACTCAGCAATATCGCAGCTATGTGGCAGGAATCAAACCTGGTTCTTCAGCACAAAGAGTGAACGCTTCAACCGCTAGGCTACCCCACCACCAAAAATTCCCCCATGATAAAGTTGTCATCATGGTTATTGTTCAACTAGTTCAAGTGAAAATGTTCATACCCTTAAAATGTCTTATCTTCCACTTCACGATGATCTCTGATGCAAAACTTCCCTGTTATTAAAGCTGTTCTTGATTCTTCACATCTGGAAAAATATGTTGAGGCTATTAATCATTCTCACAGAGTACAGGGAGTATATGAAATAAGACAGTGAGTCACATTAGCATACAAATTATCCAGTTAAAGTAAACATATTTCTACATTATATACATAAGCAAATACTAACATATGATAGACAGGCTACTTGTCATATAAAAATATAATTATACATTTACTTACATGTTGGCTATAAAAGTTAATGTGTCACATGTGACAGGCTTACATGTGGTAAATTACTTTAATACGTGATCATTGTAACATTCACATATTCCTTACCTTAATGTGTCACTTCAGCTGCCAGCATGACCTCAGCTGCAATCTCAATATTTGGCCAGTTTTGACGAAATGACCGATCGTGTTCAGTGTATAAGCTGGGCCTCGTCTCTAATATAACTTGGCGCAAGTTGACGACGCGCATAGAGAGCCGGGAACCAGCTTATGTCGTGTTAACCTGGTTCCCGGCTCCCTATGCGCGTCGTCAACTTGCGCCAAACAATAATGTGATATTAGAGACGGGGCCCAGCTTAGTGTTAACCCGGAACAAGCCATTTTACCCATATTCCCCTACGGTCCAGGGCGCCATTTTAGAACATGGATGTAAACAAACCTCGTGTATCGATATACACTGTGATGCTTGATTACGATAAGCTTACCTCGTGTATCGATA